CTGATTTGCTGCTCAAGAAACATTTCTGATTATTATTAATGTTGAAAACAGTTGTGCTGCTTCATATTTTTGTGAAAACTGTGATGCATTTTATTTTTCAGGAGTCTTTGATGAATAGAAAATTTAAAAGAATGGCATTTATTTGAAACAGAAATCTTTTGTAACATTAGAAATGTCTTTACTGTCCCTTTTTGATCAACTTAATGCATCATTTCTGAAAAAAGCAAGCATTAATTTCTTTCCCTTTTGAATGAATATATTTACTTCAGTATAAGCAGAAGAGCAAAATCTCTCCCGAGCCCATTTCCCCATCATGCCACCCAGCTGCATGTAAGAGGATCTGATCTTAGATCAGTCGCTTCAGTCAGGGGCTCAGTATAACCTGATAAGGCTCTTTGTGAGCGTTTACAAAGGTTAAGCTGACCTCTCCGCCACCAAGTGCCAAACAAACCGGGAGGGAAGGAGGAAGAAACTAATCTAATAGACTCAGAAGGAAAGCGCGCTCTTTAAACCGAGTTAGCATCGTTTAATTGACCCACCAGAGAATCAAATTGGACCCTCATAGCCACTGCAAGAGTCAAATATTTGGATATAAATTCATCCCTCAGCAATGGAAGTCCAAAAAATACCTGGCCACTTTGCATTAGTTCTGTTTCACTTGTAAAGTGTGCTTGTGCATCTTCTTTACAACAAGTGGTTTGAGGTTTTTAATTTGACGCAATGACATTCTGACATTTAAATATGAAACCTTGTTTCCGCCACAGAATTAAAAAATAAATAAAATAAAGGTATGTGAGACTTTTTAATCTCACAATTTTGACTTTTTTCTTTGCAATACACTTGTTTCCGCAACGAAATAAAGATAATTGCGACTTTTCATCTCACAATTTTGACTTTTTTCTTAATTGTTTTGTTTCCACAACAAAGAAAAGGTAATCATGACCTTTTTATTTTACAATAACGACTTTTTTTCCTCACAATTGCTTGGTTTCCTCAATAAAATTAAAAAAGGTAATTACAACGTTTTTCAAAAAAGTCAGAATTGTGAAATATGTAAACACCGAGTTGGGGAAAAAAAAAAGTCTGATTTGCGAGATAAAGTCGTATAATAACCTTTTTTCAAATCCTGTAGTGGAAACAAGCTTCCATGTTTATAATATTTATTCCATGTGTAAATACATTCTGGGGTCGCTGTATTGCTTTGTTGGTGTAAACAGCACTTTGGTGGTTTGTTGAAGTTTTTATGCTTTACGCTATGCCTCTGGATAGTTATGAAAGAAAAACGGTGTGGTAAAAGGACTTCATGTCATGCGTCTTACTGACATACAAATAGTAACTGTGTGTACTGTAATATTAGAATGATATACATGTAAAATATAATATATTTTTGGTTTAAACAGCAAAAGGTACCACTTGTGTCAAATCAAATTGCACATCTGTAATGCAAAATAAACAGAGCACGTACGATCGGCCTCCATTAAAGACCAGTGGCTGCGCCGAGAGGCCTTTTCTCCTTAAATAAAACATTTCCACCATCATCATGTCTGATCTTGTTTTGCTCTGCCTGTGATCCGCCGTCCGGCCCAGAAAAGCCAGTCAAATTTGGGTAGCGCTGCTCGCCAACCTGTGGCCTGGAGAAACAACATGCTTAGGAAGATCAAATGGGATGGGAGATGTGTAATTACTGGTGGTTATGAAAACTGGCTGTCATCCTCAATGCGCGAATTCAGAGCCGCCCGAGGACAACCGAGGCAGACACGCCTGGAAAAGCACTAATCCAGCACACTTAACTAGAGAGGCAGGCTGTTGCTTCACCTTAGTTTGGAGTTTAATACGGAGGCAAATGAACCGTGGACGGTAGGCCCGGGCGATATATATTCAATGTTCACCATGCATTTGCCTAGAAATATAACATTTTAAGTTTGATTCATTTCCAGGAATCAGTTCAAACTCAAATGAATTCAGAACTTGATTTTAACCTTTTGTTAGCATCACCACTACAGGAAGAATTTTCTATTTATTAAAAGACAGAAAAAATACAGAGCTTTAGAAAAAGAAAAACTAGAAAAAAAATAGTTAATATTCTTCCTTCTGTTCATTTGGTGAAAAAACATGCCTTGTTTTTTTGTTTTTTGTTTTCAAAGCAAATACAAACATTTCCAGTTACTTAATAAAAGATAAATAGAAAAAAGTATATCATTTTAGAAAAAATAAACATCTAGACAAAATATTGTAAATATTCTTCCATGTGTGCAAAACATCGTGGAAAACATGTCTTGATTTTTTAACCTAGATTTTTATTGTCTTTTACTTAGGTTATTTTAAATATTTTGAGTTTAAATAGCAACAATGGGGAAAAAAATCCAGATCTGAAAGATATTTATTAAAACATAAAAAAGAGAAAGAAAAAAGATGCATTCTTTACGCATTTTTCTTGTCATATTAAACATTTTGAATTTAAAAAGCAACAATGGACAAAATAAAAAAATATATGAGCAAAACATATTGTAAATATTCTTTCTTTTGTTTATTTGGTGCAAAACATGATTATTTTAACTAGATTTTTATTGTATTTTACTTCTTATATTAAACATTTTGGATTTAAATGGCAACCGTGGACACAATTTCAAAGCAAACATATATAAATATCCAGATTTATATATCAAATATTGTTAAAAAGGCCAAATATAGAGAAATAATTGAAGCTTTTTCCCCCAGCTCTAGTGCACTCTATAATTTGATGCACAACATACAGCAGATCACTCGATATCCTTCTTCCCAGCAGCAGATAAAAGCCGTAATGTTGAATTCATGTGGTCTGGCCAAATGAAAAAGTAAGGGAAGAAAAGATAGAAACTTCCCCCTACCCCCACCTGCTTCTATCACTTTGTCCCCTAGAGGAAGGGAACATTATGCAGGAGGACAATGCGTCAAAGCAAGCCAGGCCTGTTGCAACAGGTTGGCGCTGCAACAAAAAGCATCTGTCTGTGCGACACGCTCTCTGTAAGCAAGAGACTGATACCCTTCTGTAAATCAGACACACATGCATGCATTCTCTTCCTGATAATCACCTATACTCGTAGAAGCGGATGTTTCTTAACCAACCCAAAGCACTCGCTCAAGAACAACTGCCGCCGTCAGTGACTCTACAGATCACAAAACACCCTTTACAGGGCTTGAACCTTCAACCTTTGAGTTACAAACCCACAATGTTCTTTTGCATGGGCTTGCAATTACAATTTTCATTCTGCATGTAGATACTAGCTACCGGCGGCATGAATAACACCTCAAAACCTTTGTGATTTTGATAAAACAACCTAGATAAACTCTCAGACTTAGAGACCAGAATATCACAGAGACTTGAGGGTGGACGTTCTTCGCTTGAAATGGTAAGAAACCACCTAGCAACCACTCAGAACACCTTCGCAACCACCCACAACACAGCACGTTTTGCACAGGCAAGCACACTTTCTTCAGATAAAGCAAAAATCTAGTTGCAACTTGCAATAGAACAGAGAGGCAAAATGTGTTTTGCCAATCAAATACAACTCCAGAAACACCTTTCTGCATCCGTGTCTAATGAAGCAATCATCTTGTAATGCGAACTGCTGTCAAATTCAAATGCAGCCTCATCGAGATGATCACAAACACACATCACACACTAACAAGAAATCGGTTTTAGTTTATTTTTATGATGCAATAACTCTTTCCCACAGGGATAAATGCTTTCAAGATCCATTTACACTGAGTGCATCCCCTCTGGCTTGATCGGGACGGCTCTCGCAGAACTCGCAGCCTTCAAAGCCTCAGTATGGCCTCAGAGAACAGACCTAACGCTTTACAACACCACAAATCTATCAGCTCCAATAAGACCCGAGCAGCTCTTGGCTCGATCACAGATGCATTTGATGGCTTCCCAGGTGAGCGATTCTGCATGCGAGACGACGACAGATCTCAGATGAGACGCAGCTTTACTGCTGTAGACTTCTACGCCATCAGCAAAGACTTGTGTGTTATTGATCATGCAAAGAGCTGTTGCTGTTTCTGGTACTATGTGGAGTACAGAATAATACCCTGAAATAAACAGAATGTAATTACATTTATTCTGCCAAATGTTTTGTAAGAAGAGTGACAATAAATGACACTTGCTTTGATCTAACATCTAATGCAAGACATTTTTAAGTGACTGTCCGCCAGTAAAAGCTTCCAAGACCGAAGATGATCATGCAAAGAATTGTTGGTGTTTCCTGTACTATATGACATGTATCGTGGCCCAAAAATGTAAAATTATATTCCAAAATAAACAGAAGGTTACTGCATTTTTAATTTGCTAAATGTTTTATTAGAATAGAATGCATATGGAGTTTCCTTACAATAAATGACACTTGCTTTGATAAAACATTGAATGCATTGACATTCACAATTTTAAGTGTTGCTTAAATGTCCAAATACTTTTAGAGCATTTGTCTGCCAGTTAAAGCCTCCAAAAGCAAAGAGTATCATCATGCAAAGAATTGTTTTCTGATACTGCATGACAAAAATCTACAGTGGCATCAAAATTAAAAAATAATAGCCCAAAATAAACAGAATGTGATTGCGCTTGTGCGGTTTCTTTACAATGAACACTTGCTTTGATCTAACATCTAATGCATTGACATCCAGACAGTTTTAAGTGTTGCTTAAGAGTCCAAACACGTTTTGATGCCAATGTCTGCCAGTTAAAGCCTCCAAGAGCGAAGATGCATGAGATACACAGCTGTATTCTCATCAGATCCCACGGCGTTACCTAGACTCTAAAAAGGTTTTCGCAGCAATGCAACAGGACCTCCATTTCAAGAATCTTTCAGTTTTCCCAGCATAAAGAACATTTTAATCATCTAAAGAACCTTTTTCCACTACAAAGGACCTTTTGTGGAATGGAAAATTCCATGAAGATGCCAACAAAGAACATCAGTCCAATGCATGACTGAAAAAACCTGAAAACACCTTCCAGCTCTTACCTGCATCAGTTTCCCTTCAGCATAGCCTGCGCTGCCCCCGGCGAACACCCCTTCTAGGGTGATGGGCCTGCTGGTGGGCTCCTGTTTCAGCAGCGACACCTTGATCATGGCTCGGGGTGCGGAGCGTTCGGACTCCACAGCAGCGGCTAGTTCCAGGCCCGTGTGGCCCAACGCCACCTGCGAGGCAGCCATGAGCAGCAACGGCCAGAGCCCGGCCAATTGCCGCACAGGAACCCTCATTGTCCTGGCTGCAGCGGCGGGCCCCGGCCATACATTATGCGCTATCCGTTCAATCAGAGCTCAGATAAAAGACAGGAGAATCCTTAGAAGTCACTGAAACTGTCCAAAAACCCAGTGGCTTTTAGATTGGATAGTTTTATAAGCTCTGCAGGGTTGAGATTTTAAATTAAAGAATATTACAAGCAATCCAATGGAACTTTAGTCGGGGACTGGCCCGTATCACTGACAGAACATGGTAGACAGAGTGACAGGGTGATTGACAGCGGATAGACTCCTGGCGCGAGCATTGATTTGAACGACAAAAAGAGTTTAATATGATCTCCTAAAGGTCGGATCAATAATATAACAGATTCCCCCGTGGATTCCCGCGCGTCGTGATTGAGAACATGACGTCATAATGGCTCAATTAGTGTGCGGTGCGCCGCGTCCACTTCAAAGGATTCCAAACATTCCAGAATGTAGCAGGTTGTAGCAGAATCACCGTATCCAGCAATGCAACAATGTCTCAGTTATTCCACTCTGATCAAACACGCATCACAATCCCACCGTGAACGCCTGGAAACGTTTCCCATGAGGTCCGACGGGGGGAAAAAATATTATCCAGATAAAACAAGAGCTTTGCGGGAGCGATCGAAAACACTGTCAGGAGAGAGCCTTTTCTAAACACTCGTTTCCATGTTCCTAAATGAATTAAAACTTCACAAACCTGTTCGACTCAGATTAAATTTCCACAGATCCATGTCGAGAAATCTAGACACTATAAGTGTAGAATCCGCACGAGCTGTCCCGAAGCCTCAGTGTTGTTGATCCGAACAGCAGGAACGCTGGAAAAGTTTTGAAGTTGAGAGTGAACTCGAGTGCGAGCGTGTGTGTGCAATGAATTAAAACTTCACAAACCTGTTCGACTCAGATTAAATTTCCACAGATCCATGTCGAGAAATCTAGACACTATAAGTGTAGAATCCGCACGAGCTGTCCCGAAGCCTCAGTGTTGTTGATCAGAACAGCAGGAACGCTGGAAAAGTTTTGAAGTTGAGAGTGAACTCGAGTGCGAGCGTGTGTGTGTGTGTGTGTGTGTACCTGCTGACTGTCAGCGAGGGTGGAGCAGAACTGATCCGACCCATTAAACGCGTGCACACACACACTCAGACACTCACACTGCGCCCTCTAGCAGACATCACTGGAGAAAAATCAGAATTACAGAACGATTCTGGATGCCGAAACTGATTTTTAAACGTGAATATAATCTTCAGTATAACAACTGTAAGCTTCATAATAACGGGAACAGATGTTAATGGGAACAGACTTGGAGAAATGTAGCATTCCATCAGTTGCTCAGCAGTGGATGCTCTGCAGTGAATGGGTGCCGTCAGAATGAGAATCCAAACAGCTGATAAAAACATCACAATAATCCACAAGTAATCCACACCACTCCAGTCCATCAGTTAACATCTTGAGAAACCAAAATCAAATCTATCATTAAAGACATTTTTAACTTCAGACCATTGCTTCCAAATAAAATCGAGTCCATAATCCATAATAACGCTTCATCCAGTGAAGGTGAATACATTTTCTGCAAATTTTAATTTTAATAAAAATTAAATGTTGAAAAATAGTATTTTGGATTTGTCTTTTTAGGGATGTTGATTTAAGGCAAACAGAAAGAATTAAATGGAAGATTTATTTACAGTAGGCCTATTAGTAGCCAAATTGAGTGACTACAATTTGTTCGACAAAAAAAGTTAAAATATTAAATATTAGAGTAACATACTTTAACTGCACAATCTAATTATATTGTCTCCTAACTTAATGGTATACTTAACTTTTATTCAAATTATAAATAGGTAATTTTAAAATAAAGTCCTTAGGGAAATGAGGATTTATACTGGACATTTTTTCATGACTTGAGCTGGTTTATAATATAATAAATAATATAACAAATCTGAGCAGTCAAAATAACATAAAACAAACAGCATGCTCAGTCTTTATCAGGGATTTCACTTGCTTTGCATTTATTCAAATTCAGAAAAGCTGAAAACAAATCAGTTCATTCAAATCTGACTTTCACTCTTGTGCTGCATTTAAAAAAAATAAATTATATACTGATGCTTATGAATACTGAAATATATAGGATATAAGATAAATAATATAAGAATATATATAAGAAAAATAATATCACATTCACTGTAGATATTTAAAGTGTGTGTATTTAGCATAAATGCCATTAAAATTAAAGGCAGAAACTCTGTGAGAAAACAACTTTAAAAAAAACAGCAAGCAATATTAAATTAACACTTCTTCAAAAGTTTCTTAAATAGTTCGTACAATTTTTAAAATACTGTAAATAACATATATAACTAATAACAATACTTAAGTTAATAATTAAATAAGTAATAGCTTTGTGATGCTTGTCATTTGCATATGCTGATGAATCCTGCCTGTCATCTGTGGATCATAACAACCATAAAGTCATAAAAAGTTACAAAAAATAAATAAATGATTGTGCAAAAACGTAATTCAAGGGTGTGATATAATCTGAAACTGTCCTACCTAGAATAGCTGTAGTGAGTCTTGCTCTGCTGTCAGTTTCTGATCTGTAGCAGCCTGATTACAGAGTATTGAAGGCTCCGTTTTAATTTAAGTAGTCTTTATAGTTTGTGATACTGTATTTTTTGGTACTGTAAAACAACACACTTAAAGACCAACTAAGACAATACCAGCGTCTTTTGACCTTTTCTGAGGCCTCCAGGGATGCTGAATCATCTTCTTTGAGTTGGCTGGCTCCTTGCTTCTCAGCATCATGTCCCTCAGACTCCAGTTTGATGTACTGAGCTCCCACACCGCAGGCCATGGCAGAGGGACGCTCGTCTCTCACAGGACTGGATGCTGCAGTGTCTATCCTGGAGCTCTGAGGACTGTCGGGGTCAGGTTTAGAGGCAGCAGGTAGAGTGCAGAGAGATGGGCTGGAGGTGTGCTGGCCGTTCACAGGGGTGCTCACTCGGACTACGTGGACGTTGGGCAAGCCCTGGAACTCATCCACCATCTGGAACACCCTGTCGAGGTTCACGTCGCCCCGCTGAGACTCAGGCGTAACGTGTGCGGGCCAGTTTGCTGTTTGGATGCTGTTGTGATGGTGGCTCTGTGAATAGTTCTGCTAGAGTAATGAGAATAAAAATCTTTAAAGTGTTGTTGTATTACAAAATATCTAAATATTACAAAGCAATAAGACAACAGAATAAAAATAATTTTTATTTGGTCTTTTGAATTTATATATATTAAGCTCCTTGATGATTTGCTTTGTTCCTCTTTTGTTTGTTGCTATGGACAAAAATCTATCTATCTACTGTGTAATGTTTCTCACCGGGTAATAAGCATAATGTGAATATGGTAGAGCTGTTTGATCTGCACCTGCTCGATCTGCTTCAATAAAACCAGCAGTGCAACACTGACAAACTACTGAGAGCAATACAAATAAACAAATGTTGAACAAAACGTTCATAAGCAAATAGAAACGCAACAGTAACAGTTTTGTCTCAGAAGTTTCTCCTGAAATTAAATCTCAAATGTGAGCACACTGTGGAGATCTCTTCTCAAAGTGAGGCCTTTTCCTGTGGAAAATACTGAAATACACTAAAAACACTATTTGCAACATTTTTAACAATGGCTTTATTTAATGGATTTATCTAATGCACTGTAGGACAAAGTAAGTCAGTACCTGGCGAGTAAAATCCAGGAGGATAGGACAGCTGATGAGGTATATATTTAGGCTCCTGTGGAAACAGAGCACCAGGACCGGACTGGATCCTGTAAGGAGTGTTGTACGGATTGAGGCGGATGACAGAAACCGGGATGCCTTTGTTAGAGTAGAAGGGAGGCACATCACTGTAAGGAAAGATCCAGGAGTGCGGAGGGATCGGGCTTCGGTCAGACCCCATCTGCTGATGCGACACAGAACCAAAGTGCTGATTTGTGTCTGCAAAACCTGAGAAGCAAGTATAAAGAGAAGTTTATAGATCATTAAAAGATTTAAAAAGCTACAAAAAAAGCCAGTTTTTTGAGGTGACGGTTCTGGCACTTCTTCCTAAGACAGTCTAGAGGTGTGTAATCTAAGAAAATACATGTGTAATCTTTCAAACAATATTGCTCTAAGGATGTTCTTGTTGCTACACATTAACTTTATTTAAAAAAAAAAAAAAAAAAAAGTGGAATTGACTTAATAGCTCTTTTTGTGTTTCATGGGGGAAAAAACCAACCTCAGATAAAAAGAACTATTAATAATAAAACTTAAGTTTTCACTATAATAATTGTCTTCAGACCCAATTAAATACTTTTGAATTATGAACTAGTTACTAAACCATTTTCACTAAAGACTGACATTTAAATAGATATATAATACTTATCTCATTGGTTGTATTGACAAATTTATATTTTTAAGTTTTGGACAGATTTCCCTAAACAGCCTCACGCACATGTCTTTTTGCTGTGAAATTTATAAAGTAAACATAATAACTTTGATATGGTTGGTAATATTTCCAGATGAACACTTTTTTTTTTAGAAAAAAATCAGTGAGTATCAAATATGATCATCATGCTTTTGAGGAACGTTTATTTCTTTCAATCATCGTTGGATTGCATTGCATTATATGTTTGGATCATTTAAATCTCATCTTCCTAAGACATATTATTAGAGTGACGACTGATATTTGTACAATTTTATATAAGCATCTGCTGTACGGGCTGTGAGGGAGGTCTGCGGAGTGTGTACGTGCTGAGGAGTGTGTTTGGGGGAGGTGGTTGGAGAGATTAAAGAAAGGGAGAGCTTGTGTGAGACACAGAAAGAGAGAGGTTTTGTCCGTGCTGCGGGAAAGCACACAGAGCGCTGTGTGTGCAGAGAGGAGGACTTCACAGAGATAGTGAGTGTGTGAACATCACAGAGATGGGACATTAGAGTGTTTGACCACTTGTGTGTGTGTGTGTGTGTGTGTGTGTGTGTGGAAAAATTCAGATGTATCCCCCTTTGCAATAGTTACCATTTCCATAAGTAACTGTAATTTAATTACACATTTTTTCTCAGTAACTGTAACAGATTACAATTACATTTATTTAGTAATTAAATTACATAATTCCGTTACATGTAACTAGTTACTTCCCAAGACTGGTCGAATATGATACTCAACATAAAACTTTTGTCTAAAGAAGGTTTTCTGACTATTATTTCACATGTCAGGCTTTAGAGTGACTCAAATCCTCAAATCACATGTCTTTTTGAGGACAGCTGCTATAAGCACTACGTTCAGTCTAGCATATGAAAGTTAAACTGGCCTCTCTTTGCATCTGTAGTGTTGTGTTGAGACTGCTGATGGTTGCGGCGCGGGGGACGACAGGACACCTCCTCTCCGGCCTGCATCTTGGCCTTGTTACTGATTGTGAGCCTCTTCATGTGGACCAGAAGCTCTGGCCGACCCTGTTTGAAGAAGGGATTGTGGAAGTGGTGCAGGTTGCGGCGTCTGTCCTTGAAGGACCTGTCATAAACCTTCCGGAAGCCGTAGAGGTTGAGCTGCCGGATGAAGCTGGTGAAGTTGGTGGTCTTGAACAGTTTAGCGTCTTGTTTGACCGGTGACAGCAGCTCGTCCTCGAACCGCTGCTGGTCGACGATCACGCTCTCTCCATTTGGGCTCCAGAAGACCGAGTCATTTTGGGGATTGGTTATCAGACGCCACAACTTAGCCGGGAAGTTATTGTAGTTTATGTGGACTCTGAGAAGAGACTTATCAAACTCCACATCCATCATGGTCAAATCAAATAATCAATTAATGACCTGCAGATGATG